GAAAAAGCTGTACACCTTGGTCTACATACAGGGTCCTCTAGAATGGGTCTCCAATGCATGGTCCAGTTTAACTCCAGAGCTCCCAAACACAGTCCATGGTCCCTCTCTGAGCCTGCTCCTTCCTTCCTGAAACCAACACTGCCCCAGCTGCTCCTACTTACTCCACGCCTCCTTCTAAGGAACAACATGGCAGGAGGGTTAAGCCTCGGACAGCCAGGTCTCAGTTCACAATTCTAACTCTACATACTTAACATTTAACCTCTATCCTTTATAAAGTGAGCTACACTTTCTTTTTTTTTTCATTTTTTATCTTTATTGTTGAAAGTATTACAGATGTCTCCCATTCCCCCTATTGACTCCCTCTGCTCCATTCCTGCCCCCGCGCCCTTCAGCACGCTATTGTCTACATTTACAAGTACAATAGGCCATTCTGTACAGTTGAATTCTTATGGAGTTTGACTTCTTTGGTTTTATAGTTCTTATCCTGAAACTTGAATAATGCTTTCCATAAAATGCAGTATGAAATTTTAGAAAAGAAAGTCTTATTGATACTGCATTTTGTGCTAGTGGCAAGACACAAGAGGACAGAGTCCCCTGATTTTCATTCTCTGGGGTCCCTTACACACTTAGGGTGAGAGTTGGCTCCAGCTTTGTCTCCTATGCTGTCCTCCCTTCCCTTGGAGCCAGGGAAGAGCTATGTGAGCTTCCAGCACTGCCCCACACACAGTCTATAGGGCTGCCCTCTGCTGCCACGGGGCCTCCTGGAGAAACTCCATGGGCCAAGCTGCTCCCATGGGGACTGCTGTTGCACTACAATTAGCTGGTATGGTTAGCCATGGTATGATTGCTCTGTACCTCTGCCATGTCCCTGCTGATAGAGTCACCTGTCTCCCGTCTAATGGCTTCAATCGTCCCCATACAATAGGGTTCACAGGGGAGTCTGTGAGGTGTCAGTGATTGGCATTATACTTGGCTCATGTCACATCCTGAAAGATAAAGGGTCTCTTTGAAGAGTCTTCCACCCACCAGCCACCTCTGTTTTGCAAAGTGTCACTTAGCAAAAGGCTCAGTGTGCCTTTTACTGAGTAGCCGCTCCCTTGTCTTCACTTGTCTGTGATGGAGGACAGTCAGTCCATCCCAAAGAAGAGATGATTGTCACCACAATCCTGGGGACTTTTTAGTCTCCCTACAACTCTAGGGGTGAGCACTGCTTCCCTCAGGGAATGGCTGTTCCTGATGATAACATACCATGACTGTGAGCAGTACTGACATGGGACCCCCAGACGATTCAGTAAAACACACAGTTTTATTCATGATGAGCAAAGCCTATGGTTCCAAGATGAAGCTGAATGGTAAGTCACCTACTGTGTCTCAGACTTTTGTGTTTTGTGGGAATTGACATAATGATGCTACTTTTCATTTTTACCAGATAGGACATTAATAAAAATCTACTATCTACTTTCTGTCACAAAACAGAAAAAAGCCTATTATTATAGCATAAAACATATTATTAAATTGAATAGACTTAGCTTTGTGATTCTTATTTTTCCCAGTTCACTGAGGCTGGGTAAAAAGTGGGCCAGGAACTGGTCCTGAGCTGGGAACCACTCTAATGAGAACCTTCTCCATTTAACTGAGGTATTGTTGAAGGTCCTCTTTCAATTCAACAGCAATGGTACCCTTCCCCATCCTCTTTGCTCAACCTGTCCATGTCTTTACAATACATTTGAATATTGTTTGTGGTTTTGTATTGACCTCTAATGGTTTCATGTGTGACTATCTTCTCTCTTCCAACCAGACTGTAATGCTAGGTAAATAGAAGGCACTGAACAACTAGCTATTGGAATTTATTTCTATAATACACACTGTAGGTTGTTTAGAGGACTGTCAGCTTCTCACATGTATATGTGTGTGTATGTGTGTTTGTTTGCATGTTTTGGAATTCTGCTGGAATCCTCAATATGTATAGGTACATAGATGAAAGGTGCACAGTTTTGAAGAATTAAACAAGCTTCGTAAAGTAAAAAATCCAAGCCTTTGGAATCAAATCTCTATCTTTGCCTCGACTTTTTAATGAGGCTGGAAAGGTGAACTAAGTATTGAGTTGCATGGCTCTGCTTTTGAAGTATCTTGAAAGTCTCTCATCATTTTTGATGATTTAGTAATACTGTAGGGTGGAGCCAGTAGTTGAGATTTTCCCACAAAATATCAGAATTGTTTTTCATTTTCATGTACTTTTTTATTTAAAAAATCATAAAATGCTCCTTAGAGTGACAGCTCAGTTTCAATATTTATGACTTTCTAATTGCTATAGCCATTTAGAAAAAAAAAGAGTCGAGTTCACAAGTAAAATTTAGGTGGAAAAGACTAAAATTCAGAATTATGGTCTTTTTTTTTCATTAGAATGAACACTCACTTTTTGCTGGAAGTTTTATGCACCAGCCCTAGCTTCTCTATATTCAACAGTCCTTGAAAAAGTACTTAATTTCTTTCTTGAAAATATATGAACATCTTTGTAATTTGAAAATAAACTCTTTGGATCAGCACAACTTCCCTCCCAGTTTTATTCTACTTTGGACTGTAAACCAAACACACATGATCTATCTTGCAAATGAATGACTCCGTGCGGGCACGAGCTGGAGAACATACGAATGAGTGAAAGGGATATGTGGCAGAACATCATTCTGTGAGGGGGAATTTTTAACTGCTCTGATTTATAATATTTGCATGGCTGACTTGTGATATGTGCTCAAAGCTGTTCAATCATTTACCTTTTTGTGAGTTCTTGTTGTTTTCCTGAATGAGGTTTCATATTCATATGTATAAGTCTTCTGTCTAAATTAAATCTCATTTCCTTTCCCAAGATGCAAGCCTTCGGAGCCAAGTATCCATCGTTGCCTTCACTTTTTAATGAGGCTGGAAGGATGAACTAAGTATCGAGCTGACGTGGCCCTGCATTTGAAGTATCTTGAAAGTCTCTCATCATTTTTGATGATTTAGTAATAATGTAGTGGGGAGCTGGTAGTTGAGATTCTCCCATAAAATATCAGAATTGTTTTTCATTTTCTTTGATCACTTTATAATTTTGTGATTGGTTGCTTTTCTTTAAATGATATATTTCAATAGCTACTTAATGGTGTGTGTGGTTAATATGTGATTAATCTTTCGAGGGGAAGAATAATATGACTTTGTCCCTTCAAGGAGTATGTAATATAATTTCATTATTACTAACTCAAACGTCTGTAAAAGTGATTATGGATTTGGCTAAAGAAAAATGGACACTGTTGACAAATAACCTCAGAGAAGGGATAAGGAAACATCCTACTTCCCCCCAAAACACTCACTATAAGTATAAATTTTATTATACTTTATTAAAATGTTTAAGTTTTAGTATTTCCTTGTTGCAGTTTTTCCTGATTAATGAATTCTGTCAACAAATATTTGTTGAAAGTCTTCCAAGCCTTGTTCTAGGTGCTGGGAGTACAGTCCCCTTTATTCATGGGGGATACTTCCAAAAGCCCCAGTGGATGCCCAACACCAGGGATGGCACCGAACCTTATGTTTACTATCTTTTTTGCTATACAGACATATGCTTTATGGCTTTTCTTTGGCACACCCAAATTGCACCTTGGAGCATTATTAAGTAAACTGACGGCTACTTGAACACTAGCACTTTGATACCAGGACAGTAGATCTGATATCCAGGACACCTAGTCAGTGAATAACTCAGGGTGAGATAGTGAGGGTCATAGGGGTTTCGTGCCAGTGAGGGTGGGGTTAGTATATACAAACAGTGGAGACAAGCTGGACCGCACAAAATTTCATCATGGTGCTCAGAATGATGCACAATTTAAAACTTATGAATTGTTCATTTTTGAAATTTTTCATTTAATATTTTTGAACTGTAGTTGACCATCAGTAACTGAATCCTTGGAAAGCAAAACTGTGGAGAAGGGGGGAACTACTGTAGCAAATACCACAGAGGAAAACTGCCTTTGTGTGGTTGATAGTCTAATAAATCCTGACGAACTAGTTTATATTTTTTAAAAAACTTGTTATGTGAGTTTATCGAGCTTTCTATGAAAGACTCAAAAAGTGATATATTGCAGCCTAACTAATAAAGGAACCAAAATGAATAATTCAGGATTTGATTCCCAGGGCAGCATTGTGCAAAGGGGTGTGGTAAAACACCCTTTTTGTAGATTTGACATTTGAGCAGTAGCAGGTGCAAATTGTGGTGAATAAAATTAACTCAGCTATGAAGAACGTAACACGAAAAGCAGAAATTGTCAGGATTGTTTCCAAAAGGCATTGTGACTACGTCCTCCCAAACATGTATGAAAGCATTCTATTAGGCCAAAGACAAAATCATCCTTGCATTTGATCTAAGGAAAAGGATTTTTTCCCCTAAAAAAAACCCCACTTGGATTTGGTCAATTTTGGAGTTTTGAGGTTGGGGTAAAACTTTAGGCAGAGCTGATCCTAGTTACAAATGAGAAGGCAGAGTTTGGACACCCACCCCTCCTCCAGCTGACTTATGATGTCTCCTGCTATGCTCCCTTTGGGAGGAAAGTACTGGACCTTCCTTCCAAAGACCTGAGCTTCAACTCCCCCTGTGCTATTTATCCTGCATGTGAGCATGAACAAGCCATTTTGCCAAGCCTCAGTTTTCTCATCTACAAAATAGAGATAAGAATACCAACCTCAGAAGGTAATGGTGAAGATTAAATAGACTGTTTGTGAAAATGCCTTGAAATGATTAACAACAAGAATTAGCATAATGGCTAACACTTCTTTAAGGAACCAGGCAAGAAAGCTCTGAGAAAGACAGAAACTCTCTAGATACTAAAGACTGCCCAGTGGAATGGCGAGTGGTGGAGATTTTATTTTGGTTAGTGCTTCTGTTAGATTGTGTCTTAAATTATACCAGGGGTAAGGCTGCTTCCTCTGCCGACAGAACCTATGTCAAGCCCAGCTTATTCAGATCCCCAAGTACTCACTCTTGCCAGGCTGGTCCCAGATGGAACTTTATAAGGGACGTACTTCCTGTAGATATGACCAACTCTAGAACATGGAACATCGAACATTTCTCCTCCACACATCCAAACCTAAAGAGAGGTAATTTCAAAGTATGAAAAAAAGAAACCCAGAAAATTCCATACAGAAAAGCAAGACTCAAAAATGTATTAAAATCTCTTAAAGTCTCAAAATGAGTAATTCCTTTTTATAATAAATAGCTAACCAAGAAAGAAAACCACATTTTCAAAAACCCAGATTCATAAAAGTATAGAGCCAAAATACTAGTTTAGTAAGATCTAATTTCCAGACATCATGGCATTATTTTTATTCTAGAATTTTATTATAAATATTACATTGAACTGAAATTTAATGCTTACACATTTTAGTTATATAGATATTTGTTTTGAAAGCCTTGTGAAATCATTTGAAGAAGTAACATTGTTTTAAATGTCAATCTAAAATATAAAAAATGGAATTTTTAAAATAAATTAATGAATTAAGGAACATATATCTATGCTTGAAGTTACATCTGCATGCTAATTTTTCCCACCATTGATTTTTTCCTTAGGTAAAGAAATTAATTGGTTAGTGATATGGAAAAAGGAAATATTATGCCTGAGTTATATGTTAAAATGCTGTACTTATATATAGTAACAAAAATTAGTTGGTTATATTGTATCATGACTACCCACTTAGACACACACTTAATAATGATTCTATATATAATAGACTATTTACTACAAAAGGACAAATTAGA